CCTCACACGCTTCGTGGCCCCATCGGGAGCTCCAACTACGGTCCCAAAGGCGGAACTCGCATGCGGTCCCCGCACTCATTTTGGCACACCCCTCACACGTTTCGTTTCGTGGCCCCATAGGGAGCTAGCTCCACCCAAGGTCCCAGTGGCGGAACCCGCATGCGGTCCCCGCACCCATTTTGGCACACACCTCGCACGTGTCGTGGCCCCATCAGGGAGCTCCAGCTACGGTCACAATGGTGGAACTCGCATGCGGTCCCCGCACCCGTTTTGGCACACCACTCACACGTTTCGTGGCCCCATAAGGAGATCCACCCAAGATCCCGGTGGCGGAACTCGCATGCGGTCCCCGCACCCACTTTGGCACACCCCTCACACGCTTCGTGGCCCCATAGGGAGCCCAGCCCCATCTACGGTCCCACTGGCGGAACTCGCGTGCGGTCCCCGCGCCCATTTTGGCACACCCTTCACACGCTTCGTGGCCCCATTGGTGACCCCACCCGAGGTCCCAAGTGGCGGAACTCGCATGCGGTCCCCGCGCCCATTTCGGCACACCCCTCACACGCTTCGTGGCCCCATCGGGAGCTCCGACTACGGTCCCAATGGCGGAACTCGCGTGCGGTCCCCGCGCCCATTTTGGCACACACCTCGCACGTGTCGTGGCCCATAAGGAGCTCCACCCAAGGTCCCAGTGGCGGAACCCGCATGCGGTCCCCGCGCCCATTTTGGCACACCCCTCACACGCTGCGTGGCCCCATAAGGAGCTCCGCCTAAGGTCCCACTGGCGGAACTCGCATGCGGTCCCCGCGCCCATTTTGGCACACCCCTCACGAGGTTCGTGGCCCCATAAGGAGCTCCGCCTAAGGTCCCAGTGGCGAAACTCGCACGCGGGTCCCGCACCCATTTTGGCACACCCCTCACACGCTTCGTGGCCCCATAGGGAGCTCCAGCTAAGGTCCCAACGGCGGAACTCGCATTCGGTCCCCGCACCCATGTTGGCACACCCCTCACACGTTTCGTGGCCTCATAGAGAGCTCAAGCTACGGTCCCAGTGGCGGAACTCGCATGCGGTCCCCGCGCCCATTTCGGCACACCCCTCACATGTTTCGCGGCCCCATAGGGAGCTCCACCTAAGGTCCCAACGGCGGAACTCGCATGGCGACCTCAGGCGATTTCGGCACACCCCTCACGAGGATCGTGGCCCCATAGGGAGCTCCGCCGAACGCGCCAGTTGCAAGGTTCGCATAGCGGCCTCGGGCCACGTCGGCACACCCCCCGCGAGGATCGCGGCCCCATCGGGAGCTCAACTGAAGGCCCCAGTGGCAGAGTTCGCATGGCATCCTCGGGCGATTTCGGCGCAACCTTCACGATGATCGCGGCCGAGCTCCACCGAACGCACCAGTGGCAGGGTTCGCATGGCGGCCACAGCGCGCCCCTCACGAGGATCGTGGCCCCATAAGGAGCTCCACCGAAGGCGCCACTGGCAAGGTCCGCACGGCGGCCTCGGGCCATGACGGCACACCCCTGACGAAGATCGTAGCCCCATAGGGAGCTCCACCGAAGGCGCCAGTGGCAGGGTTCGCATGGCGGCCTCGGTCCATTTCTGCACACCACATCACGAGGATCGTGGCCCCATAGGGAGTTCCACCGAAGGCCCCAGCGGCAGGGTTCGCATAGCGGCCTCGGGCCATTTCGGCACGCCCCTCACAAGGACCGTGGCCCCATAGGAGCTCCACCGAAGGCGCCAGTGGCAGCTTCCCTCATGGCTCTCAGAGCCCTCTCCTGTTTCTGCTCCTCGGTCAGGGGGACGCCGTCCTCGTCGTCGTCGGCGTCCGCGAAGACGGCCGCGAACGTGTCCCTGAGCATGTCGGGCTCCGGCGGGAAGCCGTGGCCACATAGGGAGCGTGGGCGAAGATGGTATTCACAATTGCGGTATTCACAATTGCGTCTGGTTGGGTCTTTCGCCCGGCTATTTGTTCGACACGTCCCTAGGATCTTTGGAAAGTGGAATAAAGTAGGACAACTAGTTGCCATGCAAATGGCACATCTGCACACGGAGCGCGACGATGGTGGCAATGCCCAAGCGCAACTTTCCTTGGATTTCGCTGCTCTGCTCCGTGGGCAGACTCATCCTGACCAGGTCCTGGCGTCAAGCGTGATGCCGCCAATGTTTGGCGCGACGTAGCTGCGACTCTCGATGGTGGCGAATCGATTTCCCTCCAAACGGTGAAGGCCCAGCGAGCTGAAGACTCAGCCACGCCTGAGAGTGACAGAGTAGAGATACTTGAAAATAAAGTTGATGACTGGTTGGCTGGTCAGGGTGCCAGATCTCACGATTTCGATCCCATGTTTTCTGAGAGTGTAGTTTTCACGCTCAAGCAGTTTAAAGAGCTGTTCCAGGGGATGGGAGAAACCCTTGGCCAGTGGCCACATCCAACGGATTTGTTTGGTGTGCTAGACAGAGGGATGTGTGAGACCCCGTGTTGGCAGGCCTCGTTCTTCCCCCCACACGTCCCTCATTTGAACATCGACCATTGGCGCTGTGGTCACTGCTTCAGAACTATATCACCGCTCACTCAGACCTCTTGTATCGGCCTGAACCCCTCGATGTTGGAAGTGCTGAAGGAACCTGGATCGTTCGGGCATCCCCTCCATGTCGCGTGTGTCCTGGAATCGGGTTTCCCCGTTTTGTTTTGTTCCAGGTGCGGCGCCTTTAGGACTCAGAAAGCCATCAAGCTGAGGTCGAGATGTGAGCCTGATAACTGCAAGGAAGAGCGGGCCTTATTGAGAGGCAAGCTCCCAAGTATCAAGTGCCGAATTCATTCCCTTCAGCAGATTAGCGGCACCACTTTGGAGAAATCTGTCCCACGCCTGTAACCAGGGCCCACAGATTTGTTGTGCTAGGCATGGCCCACCTTTTAGTACGTACCCATTACAACCACAGAGGATGCTTCTTAGAAGGTGCCGGCCTTGCATCTGAAGATCAGGCCCGCGCCTCCTAAGATGCAAGGGTGTTTCTAAGAAACCTTTGCCCCTTTCGCTTGCCCCCTCTTCGCGTGCCCCCCCTCCTCCTGGCGGGCACAGACCAGCGCACGCCAGGCCAGTGACCAGGCGGCGCGAAGGCAGGGATGGAGGCGAGGGCAGGGAAGATGGGGGGCCTGCACACCCTTCCAGTCTACGCCTCCGCCCTCCTCTTGTTCTGCTTCTTCTGATGTCGGGCACTCAGCCACTGCCGATACAAACTCGCCATCTTGCGTCCAAATGCTGTTCACGCCCTGTTATACTGCAACGAACTTTGTAGGGAACGCGGCTGCAGGCGACGCCCGGCCCAGCGCGCTAGCGCCAGGTCCCATCCGAGCCTGTGGTGATGTGCCTTTGCCTTCCCCCGGGCCACGCAGAAACAAACGAGCCGTTCCTCCCACCTCGAGAAATGTGATGTGCCAGTGAGGCCCTTCCGGCAGTCTCTGAGGCCACCTCCTTTGGGGGAAAGGCTCGAAAACGAAGTTTGGGGTCCCCGTCCTGCGCCCCTCTTGGGGGACTCCCGTGCCTTCTGGGGGGGTCTCTTTTGGGCCCTGCTAGGGCCCTCTCTGGTCGCCTTGGGCTGCCTTCGCTGCCGCCTGGCCTCCGCGTCAGGACGCGCTCCTCTGCCCCCCCTTGAGAAACACAGTCACCGTGCTGGGAGGGAGACTCGGGCGGCGTCGGCGCGCGCAACATTCCTTGACGCCGCGTCGATCGTGCAACCTTGAACCGATCGCGGCAACGACCGTTCAAGGTTGAATTCAGCTGGGTCCAGTGGCGTTACCGTGTCCATGAGTGCTTCCGCGTCGAGAATTCAACCTTGAACGCCTTCCCTGGCGTTGCTAGCGCTGGTAAAGTGAGAGCATTGGATAAGGAACCCTTGGATAAGGAACCCAAGGTCTGGAAGCCTGTGGAACTCCAACCGTGGATTGGCCATGGATATCACTGCCGCTATCATCAGAGAAATAATCCACCAGGGTCTGAAGCCTCCCGGGCACATTCCTTAACCAACGCCCCCACCGCTGGCGATATTTCGGACGATCTGATCATTTCTCCCAACCCCATCCTCCCAACCCAACAATCGTTTTTGTGGCCCCTGGGGCTCTCAAACACCTTCCTCCGGAGTCTGGTTCCTCAGGCCTCGCCCCAGAAGCCCAAGACGGAATTCCAGAGGCCAAGAGCGTGGCACAGAAAAAACACAAGGTCTTGCGACGCATGGACCCGCGGGCGACTAACATTTGAGCAGGGACCGACCGTCCTGGCATTCCTATGGTCCTACCACGAAGTGTTCTTAGAACAGAAGAGCGCTCGAAAAACAAAAGCGATGTTATATTAACAGGGCGCCGATGTACTAAAACAACAATGGCAGCCAAGCATGTTCGAACAACATTTCGCGCAAACCACAACAATGGTTTAGAACATTCTTTGGTGGGCCCATAGGTAAGCCAACACGCTTCGCCACTGCTCGAAATATATCTGTATCCGCGGCCTCCTGGATCGCGACCCCGCGAATACGGGGTGCGTTTTCGCGGATACCCCGCGTGGAACGTATCCGTGCGACCGCGTATCTGCAAGAACGCGCCCCGGAATCCATCGGTGGCAAACCCAGGGACGAGAAGTGTTCCAAGCTTCTTCGAATATAGAAACGGCCTCTCAGAAGGCTGGAAGGTGTCTGAGATGCCTCCTGAGAAAGCATGTCCCATCTCACTACCCCCTAGGCGCGCCGCCGAATCCAGACCGCGAGGGCGCGGATACTGATATGCTCACCGCTCGTGATTGATCTGCAGGTGCCCCTCCAAGAAGCCAAACAGTACCGATACCGCTACTCCCTGGACCTTTCCCGGGGCGCGTTCTGACCAGAATGTTCGAAGCGAATGCAGCAATAGCGACGAGGGCCTCCCAGAAGGCCGAAAGAATTGAAAACCAGGAAAAAGTAGCGGTATGGGTACCTCGTCCTCCTCGGAGCCCCTCCCCGGAGGCTCCCGCTTGGTCAAACCGCATCAGCGGCGCCGGGGGGCTGGCGTGGCCCTCAATGGCGGCGCCGAGCTGCCGCATCAGCTCGCCGCGCTCCTCCGCGCCCAGCCTCGCCACCTGCCGCTCTTCCGCCCGGCAGGCGGCGCCCGCACGACCAGGATGAGGAGGAGGGCCACTCGGAGACCAATGCCGTTGGTATAAAATATCCTCCAAGCTTCCTTTTCATAGACCCCATACACGGGTTAATTTCCACTGAGACTGAGGGAAGTGCCCCGTTGGGAGGCAACCGCTTGAAAATCCTTAAGCGTGTCAAAGCACCATCGACGTGACTGTTGCGTCTTGCCGATCCTGAATCGCACCAGAACGCCATTCCTGGGACTTCACGACTTCGAATAAACGTACCCATCGGTCGGAATAAGTAGGTATAAACATGATGTAGGAAGGCGTTGGACATAGATTGGGTTTCCGCCCGCCTCCTGGAAAGGAGGGAAGAGGGACAACCACTCGACTCTTTCAGTAGGAAGGCGCTGAAAGTAGAATGGAATCTGGGAAACCAAGAATACCTACTTTCAACGACAGATGGGTAATTTTGTGCGCCTTGACAACACTGAATGGCTCCCAATCCCAATTTCTTGTACGTCAGCCACGAGATTCCGTCAAACTCTTACCACATTAAAAATCAATTGTTTAACGAGTGTGCGCGGCGCTGAGGCGAGAGTCACACTTTGAAAAGGAGCCGCCCACAGCCCGTCAAACGCTTGCAAGTTTTAAAACAGAGTGTGCGCGGCGGCACACCGATATCCACATGTCGAACACGACCCGCCCTCAACCCTTGAAACACTTGCAGCTCTTAGAGATGAATGTGCGCGGCGTTAAAGGCGAGAGCAACATGTTGGAAGCGAGCCGCCGTCCATCTGTGAAACTGCTGTCAGCTTGTAAGCTTCGAGATCACAAGTGGTAAAGAAACCTCGAGCGAAACGACTGAGCCGCCCTTCCGACTGGTCTCGGGATGCGACAGGGATGGTTTCTTCATTCGGAAAGGGAGTGGGCGAGGAGGAAGAGGAGGAGGAGGAGGATTAACGTTTTGGAGCAGCTTGGCGAGCACAGCGTGAGGGAGAGGGGGGGAGACAAGCTAGGTGCGCTCGCGTCATATCTGACATCCTACCCCTCCCTCCCATCCCTTACCATGGCGTAGATCCCCTCTCTACTCGCACAGTCAGATGTCGAGCAGGGCAATGATCCGAAAAGGGTACGCGATGCATTGTAGAGCACGGCATGGCATGGCGTAGAAGAGCACCGCAAAGCGTAGTATGTCACAGCATGGCGTGGCGTGGCGTAGTGAAGAATTGCATCACAAAGCTTTGCAACGCAAAGCATGGCATCGCACAGCGGCCCCGAACATAACATTGCATAGCATGGCGTTGAAGATCATAACGTAGCATGGCATAGCACGACGTGGCACTTAAGCACTGCATATCACAGCTTCAGCCCAAGGCATGGCATCGCGCAGCGGAAAGCAACCTAGCATTGCATTGCATGGCGTGGCATGGCACGGGAAATGACGCCAGCGCTACAGCGGGAGCACGATTCGGAACGAGCGGAAGCGCGGAAATGAAGCCAGCGCTGCAGCGGGAGCACGATTCGGAACGAGCGGAAGCACGGAAATGAGGCCAGCGCTGCAGCGGGAGCACGATTCGGAACGAGCGGGGCCCGAAAATGAGGCCGGCGCCTCAGCGAGAGCAGCATTTTGGAAAAAATGCAAGCGAAAACCCAACTCCGGGGAATCCTGTGTAAAAAACAATACGCGGGGGGGGGGGGGGGGCGAACACTCCCAACCCGTCATCAGGGATAGGAGGAGAGTAGTATTCATATTGGAGGAGGGGAAGGGGCGCGGCCCAGGCAGCAGCGCTTTAAAATCTGCAGGGGGAGAACGCCCCCCTGGCCCCTGCACTCCCGCCGACGGGTGCGAGGGGTGGAGACCCCACCAGGGACGGGGATGGATGAGGAGGAGCAGGAGGAGGAGCGGGAGGCCCCTAGGGGCCCCACCTTGAAACCCGACCTCGTCTCCTCCCCTCCGTTACGATTGTGGTCCTCGTTCCCCTCTTCCTTCCTCGGGGTCGGGGGCCCAGGGCCGTCGTTCGAGCGTGGGCACGACCTCTGGGGGTCGCTGCTTGCGATCCGCGCCTTGGGCCGGCTGCACAGACGCTGGCTCAGCGAGAAACGGCAGAAACGGCAGGAGCGGGAGGAGGAGGAGGAGGAGGAGGAGGAGGAGGAGGAGGAGCGCCACCGCCTGAGAGGAGGGGAGGGTGGTTAAGCAGTCAACACCATTCAGATGCAAGCCCGCCGTGGCAATCTGCAGGCCTCACAGCCCGAGCTCTGCCAAGCACGAGTCTCAGGACAAGAATCGTACCGCTGAGGGGCCCGGCAAAGAAACAGCATTTTTATGTTCGTGTCATCTTCCTACTGGAACGGATGGACCTCCAGGCTCCCAAGGCAGGGCCCCGCCGGGCGGTGAACAAATGCAACCCAGCCCCTCGGGGGCATTCAATCCCAACTTTCACAGTCAGCAGCCTCCTGAAACAGGCCGAGCGGGGGAATTGGCGCGCAGCCTCGCATGCACCAACTGTCCAGCATGCTCCTGCGACCTTCTCCCACTTTTTCGGGCAGAGTTAAGGCTGACCAGATTGCATCGATGGCCACTGCGTCGCTCCACAAAGACTCTTGAAATGAGCACCTGCCAAAACAGGGCAGAATGATGTTGAACGAGTCGAACCCCTAGCGCTCAGGAAGAGGGAGGAGGGAACGCAGCAGAGGGGCAACGACTGGGCAGCACACATAGTGTGCGAGCTCGTCGGCGCAAGGAGGATGATGAGGAGGAGGACCAGTGTAAAACTAAGACGCGTCAGCAATGTTGCAATCAGCCCTCCCTCGAAGTCCCTCTTCGTTGGCCCCATACAAGACAATATTTTCAATCCGGGAAGTGCCCCTGTAGACGGCAAGCCTTTCAGAATCCCCAATCGTGCCACGACGCCATTCCTGGGACTTCAACATTGCGAATCCACGTGGCTGGTGCGTCCTGACAACTCTACATCGTGCCAGAACGCCGTTCCTGGGACTTCGATTCTTGCGTCCTGCAATGTCCTACAGTGCAAGGACACCTTTCCTGGGACTTGTGCCATACGATCCTTTCACACTGTTACGAATGTTTAAAGCGAGTGTGCGCGGCGCTCAGGCGACAGCCACATGCTGAACAATTGCCGCCCTCCATCCTTGAAGCTGCTGCAGTATTTTAACACGAATGCGCGCGGCGCTGAAGCGAGGGCCACATGGAGGAACCGTCCCGCCCTCCATCGTAGAAGCTGCTGAAAACTCTCAAGACGGATGCTCTGCTCTAAGGCGTGAGCCACATTCTGAAAAGGAGCCGTCGTCCATCTTTGAAGCTGTTGCACACACGTTCAAAACTGATGCGCGTGGCGCTACAGCTAGAGCCACAATTCGGAAACGGCCCGCCCTCCATCCTTGAAGCGGCTGCAAACGTTTCAGACGAATGCGCAATGCGCTAGAGCGAGAGACATCGTTCGAAAAAGAGCCGCCCTCCATCAACGACATGGCTTCAAATCCTTAAGGCACATGTAGGCGGCGCGAAAATGAGAACCACATGTTTAAAACGACCCGCCCTCCATCCGTGAAGCTGGTGTCATTCTCAAGCTTCAGGGATGTAAATGGTGAGGAGGTATCAGGCGAAACGCCCGATCCAACCTACGAGTACCGACGACAAGTCTGGGGGTGCGACAGGGAGGAACTGTTCAGGTTAACCAGCGTCGACCCCGAACAATGACGCCTTGCAACCTACGTGTTGCAATTTAACTGTTGCAATCAATGTGATGCAACACAGGTGGTGCAATCCACGCGGTGCAATCTGTGTGGTGGAAAGGCGACGCAAAACAATGCAGTGTCACGCACGTCGATGCAAACCAACGCAAAGCAAACCAAAGCAATGCACAGCACCGCAAACCAACGCAATGCACAGCACTGCAACGCAATCCACAGCAGCGCAACGCAACGCAATGCGAAACACTGCGAGGTAACGCGAACCATGAAAACACAATGCGAAGCAATGCAGAGCAATGCACAGCAATGCAAACCACTGCAAAGCGATGCCAAGCAGTGCCAAGCAATGCCATGCGAAACAAGTCGAAACAATGCGAAGCAATGCAAAGCGGGCACCGACGAGGCGGCGACGGCGGCCACACGGCGGCCACGGCTGCCTGCAGGCCCAGGCGACGGGCGGCGACGGCAGGAGGGCCCAAGATCGACTTGGTAAGTCGGATCGGCGATCAAAATGAGTCGGGTCGGCGGAGATCAGCAGCCGAGCCGGGAGAAGTCGAACCGGCGGAAATCGGCAGGCGAATATGCTTCCAGGAAAGAATCGGAATCCGAATCGGAATCTGGAGTCGAATCGAATCGGAATCGGAACCCATCGAAATCGAATCGAATCGGATCGGAGGAATCGAAACGAGCCCTGCGACGGGCGGCGAGGCCCAGCGCGACAGGGCGGCGATGGCGACCACGTAGCAGCCATACCGACGGGCAGGCCCAGTTCCTCAGAAAAGAAGCAGCAGCCCTGAAGTGCAAGCGCTGTTCGGGGAGTAGGGACATCGGAGGGAAGCGGATGGTGGTGATTTGGTTTTGCTTCCCAGGGAGGGACCAGGACCACCGCCACCGAGAACTCATCGGGGTGAGTGCGGAGGAGGAGGAGGAGGAGGAGGAGGAGGAGGAGGAGGAGGAGGAGAGGAGGAGGAGGAGGAGGAGAGGGGAGGGGAGGGGGGGGGGGGGGGCGACCCTGGGCGGTGGCACGCCTGAGCGTCACCCGATACAGGACCACGCTCGGGCGTGCCATCGCCCAGGGGTCGCCCCGCTCCGATGGGGTTCTCGGTGGCGGTGGTCCCTGATTGCCCCTTCTGGGATGCAGACTTCAATATGGAACAAAAACTTATATCGGGGAGACGTAAGACCCGGGTACGGGGGACTCGGAAATCCCCGACGAGGTCGTCAAAAAAATGACGAGGCCGAGCCTGCATTTTGACGAGGCCTCCCGCTGCAGACATCCCACAAAA